TCAATATCATACCGATAATCATTGTTGCTGGTCAGCTGCCGTTTTTTACCCATCCTGCGTGTCTGTCTGTGCTGTTTGTCCACACCTGCAAGAGGCATGGCCATTCATTCTGCTCTGTTCCCACACAGATGATCCACATTCCAGATTCTCCCCTGCAGTACTTAGACCCGGGCCTTTCACCTCTCCAGCACCAGATTGTTACATACTCCTACGTGGTAACTTGGCTCAGTATCCCTGCCCGCATAGTCTATCAAACTCTGGTTCTTTCTGTCTGACCTCAATTCCTCTGTGCAGATTCCGCTGTACCTGTTCCTTACCTGCCGTACTGCCTGCCTCACGTCGCTCGACATCCCCACCTGCGTCACCTGGATTGCACTGTGGAGCTCCGTCCCCTTCCCAGAAACCCCGGGCTCAGCCGCGGTTGTTCACCTCCCTTTGAGTAATTCTGCTCATTCAATTTCTTGAAATGATTGTCTGAGTCCTGTGTTGAATCTCTGTGTGCTCCAACCACCACACAGTGATTGGAGCTACACTATAAAATGTAATTATTGACCTTACTTAAAAAAATGAGTTCCAATTTGTTGACCATACTGAAGGAAACTTAGTAAAGAACACTTTCTGCTCTGAAAAGTTATGAAACTTAGGATCTCAAGTAACGTTGACTTAAAAGAATGAGTGAGGAAAGAACCTTTCCCCAAAACCCAGGAGATACTCGGCTGCACTCGGCAGCACTTTAATACGCTTTTATACGCATGCGCACTTGACCAACGAAGACGTGACTTTGAGGCGGCTGCTGGAAGCGGGAAGCACTCTGTCCTGTCACGGTTTTGGTTCATATTTGGTTTTATTTTGCAGTTTCTTGCCTCTGTTCTCCCTGGATTTTTGGAACAGACTTTTCTCCCCGGGAAGAGCTGGCCGCCCGTAATGGGGGAAAGGTCCTCCCTTTGGTGATTTGAGGGCCGTCTGGGTGCCGGCCCTTGAGGGGGGGTCTAGGGCGGGGGCCCGAGCCAGCGACTCCGGCTTCCTGTGTCCCCCAGCCATCGTCTCCAGAGGTGTTCCGTGTCCCCCAGCCGTCGACTCCGGAGGTGTTATCTGTCCCCCAGCCGTCGACTCTGGAGGTGTTCCGTGCTTCCCAGCCGACCATTCCAGAGACGTTCAGTGCCCTGCAGTCGGCGCTCTGGAGCTGGCCAACTGACTGTCCGCCGGGCCGACCCCCGGAGTCTCCCCGGCCGTTTGCCGGGCCAACCCCCAGAAGCTCCCCGGCCACTTGACCGCCCGCCGGGCCGCCCGCCACAGTTCCCCAGGCGGCCCACCATCGTCTGGTTTCCCTCCCTCCCGCCCCTTGTCTGTTCCTGGTCTGGTTAGGGCCATCTGGAATTTGGCCCTTGAGGGGGGAATTCTGTCACGGTTTTGGTTCATGTCTGGTTTTATTTTGTTGTTTCTTGCCTCTGTTCTCCCTGGGTCATGTTACTTCCTTCCTTGTTCTGTCCTCCTTTGTGATTGTCTGACACGTCATGATTGTTTCCACCTGCGTCCAATCACCTGCACCTCCCTAGTTTATTTAAACCATGTGGGTCTGTTGTCACGTGTCGCATCATTGTTAGTTGTTGAATGTACAGAAGTCCATGTTCCTGTTTCCTGTCTCCTGTTCCCTGACCTCGTTCATGCCTTTTTGGAGTTTGAGTTTTTTTGACTATTAAAGTCCCTTTTTGTTTTCAAAGAAACTCTGCGTCGGAGTCCTACCTTTGCCTTCAACGAACCCGTTCTGACAGGTCCAGAAGGTAAGATTCAGCTAATGTTACATGATAAAATGTTACCGTTTACTGGCACCGTTCTACCTAGCAAACTTACTCGTCTATTTGCCATATTCTTCACCTGTTAGTTAACGTTAGATTTTGGGGGTTAACTTTATCGCTTCGATTTCGAAAGCTAACATTAGCTGTTAACATTTAAGCTAACGTTAGCTTGACCGTCAGTGTGGAACCTTCTGGAATAAATGTAGTGTAAATATATACATATATACAACTGTACGTTAGTAACGTTAACTTGCACTGCACTTTTACGAAGTCACGTTTCACTTCGCTTATTAGCAGGTTCAATGATAATTAACATTATGTCAATCTTTCAGCGCCACTTTTGAATTTGGTGAGAAGGTATTTTTTTATTGTTCATCTCCTACTACTTTTTTTCTACGGTGCAGGAAAACGTGACTTCAAAGAAGCAACCTTACCGGGAAATGAGTCAAAATAATACTTCCGTTTACCAATTTAACGTTAACTTGCACTGCACTTATACGTCACGTTTCACTTGGCGCTATTACATTTGATATTAACGTCAGTCAAACAAAACATGTATTAACTTATTTAACGTTAATGTCCAACAGGAGTGCAGCGGTTAACGTAATAACTGTTAAACAACGTAGCCGCCTAACGCGCGAGCACGTTTATTAATTACCGCACCGCATTGCGGGAGTCACGGTAGTTTTTGCGTATAGATGAAATGTCATTTTCAGTTCGGTTTCTAATTTAACAACCGTATGATGGCGGAGCTCTTGGCCACAGCCAAAGGGCGCCGTGTCCCATCAAATCTAGCGTTAAACATTTATTTATTTTAATACTTACTGGAAATGACAATCTAACCAAATGCAAGAAGGAACTTTAAGCTCTTTATCTTCCTCTAGACAATTTGTGAGGGGCAGATAACATGAGTGAAATGTTAAAATCTTCCATTAAACAGCTAGTTAGTTGTAAACGTGCATCTGCATGGGTTATTTACAGTTTGACTTATTGCTTTTGTTGTTTCTTTTGCAGCTTTGCAGAACACATGTTAATGGAAGTGTCGGCCAGAAACCTCAGGAATATCTGCAACAAGTCACTCCAGCAGTAAGTTTCTCAAGCAAAGTAATAATCATGGGGGGACCAAAGTAATGCCACCACATGCATAGCTGTCAATCTTAGTAATTATGTGTGTTTGAAATTGTTTTCAGAGTACAGATGTTACTGGGATGCGAACAGCAGTCCTCCGTGGCCTTCCTGTCATCCTTGGTGTTACGCACTCCTCTAAAGAGAGGATACCGTAGCACGCAGTCACGTGAGCTGGCCACAAGGTGGGTGAGGTGAAAAAAATTGCGTGGGCGCACAAGCAGGACCAACAAAACACAGTACCGTTTGAACGAGGTTTATTTAACCTAAAATACGGTAGTGGGGGGCAAAGGGGCCGAGCGGAACCAAAGCAAAGAACCAATGAAAAAGACCCAAAACCTATCTAGTCTAAACACAATCTGCTAAACTCTGATAAATACAGGGGGTGGTCCGCCCAGGTCTTGCCTAGTGTATATAGACCGAGGTTTATCTACAGGTAGTATGTAAACCCCAGGGTCTCTTACCTACAGACAAAACCAAACCATGTTTATTTCACTGTTATATACACATTTTAAAAACGAAAAATTCCGGCATTGTGCGGTCCCCTTTTCCCTGGGACAACTGAAGAAACAAAAAATGAATAGTACAAACAACGTGATAACAACGGACAGAATAACAGCAATAACTTAACCTTCACCAGTTCAAATGACCAAATACATATGTAACCAAAACAAAAGAACTGTCACTTTGAACACAGCTCCGCTCAAAACAATAGTTCCTTCCCAAAGTTATTTTCCACAACAGTCCTTTCGGCTCTCTCCACCAGCTCTGCCTCCTTGTCTCTTCCCTTCCCGACCTCCTTTAAAGCTACGGCATCCTGCAGTTGATTTGGCTGTGGGTGAGGGTGGTTAGTGGGCTGCCGGTGGGGAGCGCATGGTGATTACTGCATGGTGGGGTGTTAAAACAACCTTGTGGGAACACAAAT